ATAGTTAGGGCTGGTTCAGGTTTATAGTTAGGGCTGGTTCAGGTTTACAGTCCTCGTCCTGGTTTCGTACCTCTCTCTTCAGCCTGTTGAGGAAATACTTCTTGACTCTCCCGAACGGTTCCGTCAGTTTCAAGATGGCGTCGTCGGAGTATTTAGTGTTGGGGATCTGACCCACGTAGACCACCCTGCTAGATCCGCACTGAGGAGACAGGAGAGACACAGAGGAGACAGCGAGAAGACATCGAGACTGAGACACAATGGACATCAACATGTCAACAATAAAAACACCTTAAGACCTACAGACCACAGATGAAATAAAATAAATAAATAAATCAGATGGTTAACAAGTAAAATCTGTTTGTTTTTTGTTTCAGGACTTGAGTGTCTATAAATTCCAGATGTTGATAAAGTGTTTCTGGTTATTGATCAATCTGAGCCTAGTAAGGTTATCAGATCATCAACAGCAGACAATAAATAATCGGTTCAGCTAACAGCTTCTTTTTTCCTCGAAAATATGTGACTTTAAGCTTTAGAGAATATTAAAGTTATTATCCTGATGAATACAACTACAAACACCATCTCACCTTCTTATTTAACGTCTGTCATCATCTTATCCTTTGAGACGATAAATGAACCTTTAACAACATTAAAGTATCAGATTCTTTAAGTTATATTGTTTACATCTTTCTGTATTTGATTCTCATTGAACCCCGTTATACTTTTTAATATACAATATAATCAAGGTAACTCATGTTTGTTTTGCTCAATTAAGATCAAAGCTCCTCTAGTCTTTTATTTGATCATATTTCAGTTATTTTCAGCAGGTCAATGTTTGCATATAAATATATTTTTTGTATGTTTTTGTTAACTTTTGACTCACTTCGAGCCTTCTGATTGGACAGTTGAACCCTTTAAATCCTGCACAAGGTTTTTAACAAGCTGCCTCTTCACTTAAATTACAAACTACATGAACTACTAACAGAGAGCTTGTGAGAGACGTCGACACAGAGAAGGAATTTAAAGGAGTCAAAGACAAAAGACATAAAACTAACAGCTGAATTTATTTGTTTAAAATACCTTTTGTGTTATTTTTTTGTCTCATGAACACAAAGTTAAACCCTCAGAATCATGTGAAGACGTCACATGACGGGTTTAAAATAAGGAAGCAGCTCAGATAGAATGACGGTCTGTAGATTTAGGATCAGACCTGGTCTCACAGGGTTCCCTCTGAACCATGAACCAGTACTGAGGACAGGTGAGAGGCTCACCTGGATGGTTGGGTAGCTCAGAGAGTGACTGACTCTCACCGGTCGACCGCACACCGACGCTGTGATGTTACTATTGTAGAAGCTGGCCATCGCTCGAGCTTCTTCTTCCGTGGTGAACTGAAGGTACGCCTGAAGAACAAAGTATGGAACATTTCTGCATGTTCCTCTCTGCAGGTTACATTGGTCATTAAACTGTAACAGGTGGTCTACCTCTGGTCTCAGGTCCAGAACCAAGTGTTTCACCACCTTCCCAAAAGGTTTGGCGAGTCCCTGAAGCTCGTTCATGAAGTTGTAACCTCGTCTGAAACCCACGATGTTCACAACTCTCATACCCTGAAGAAGAAGGAGGAGAAGGAGGATAAGAAGCAGAAGAAGAAGAAGCAGCATGTCAGAGGTAAAAAGAGTTGCAGACAGAACCACAGAAACCATCCTCAGCTATCGTCTCTCTGGACGGACACAGATACTCACTCCTCTCCTGGTGTTGTCTGCAGACAAGAGGAGATACAAACACAGGATGAGCTTCAGCTTTCATCTGAACACATGAAGAAGAAGAGTAATAATACTCATGTAAATATTCAGGTACCGGTGGAGTCGGACTCTCCGTCTGCTTCGTCCTCGTCCTCGTCCAGTTCGTCCAGCGTCACAAAGTCCTCCATGTTCTCCAGGAAGTCTCGATCGAACTGAATAGAAACATCACATTTCATATTCATATATAAATATATATTTATTACAGTAGAACGTTAACGTACCTGGTCAGCAGGTAGCTCTCCCTCCACCGTGTCTGAACCGTCTCCTGGTTCTGCGTCCGGTTCTTCTTCTTTGTTCTCGGGTTCCTCAGCAGAGACGTCGGTTTCTGTCCGTTCTGTCCGTCCCTCTGGCTCCGCCTCCTGCCTGACCTCAACTTCAGCCCCGCCCACATCTCCAGGTCGGTCTTCGGTGACATCATCACTGCCAGGAACCTGTGTGTACATGAACGTGTTCAGGGAGAGCCGGCATTGATCAGTTCATCAATGGATGAGATGTTTTTCAAAATAAAACAGTGTTTTATTTTGAAATCTGACATGAAGATGAGCTGCATTTTATTCTGTTAGGAAATGATTTAAATACTTAAAGAGTAACTTTGAGTCAAAATGAAACAAAATATACTTTATAAAGTTCATAATTTCTTTCTTCTTTCCAACTCTTTTTATTTATTTTTCTTTTGAATATTAGTATTATCTTTTAATAGATATGTGTAATATCATTTTTATTTTTTAATAATATCACCTACCTGTATATGCAATTTTTTTTAATATATTTCTTTTTCTAAACAATCATTATTATCCCTTTTCATTTTTCTAATTACTCGTCATTTGTTGACCTCAAAGTTTTCAGTGTGTTCTCACCTCCTCCTGTTTGACCTCCTCCTGCTCCTCTGCTGCTCCTTGTGGCTCCTCCCCCTCTGCATCTCCATCAGTCACCTGCTCCTCCTCCTCCTCCCCATCCATCACTCCTGACACCTCCTCCTCCTCTGCTGCAGGTTGCTGCTCCTCAGGCTTCAGCTCCTCTTCCTCTTCCTCCTTCTTCTTCTCCTCTCTGGTCCTGGATGAGGATTTGGATGAGGAGGTCCTGGGGGGGTTGTTGGTGGAGGTCCTGGTTCCGGAGCTGCTGCTCCTCTGGCTTCGACCGTCTCCTCCTTGTCTCCGGTTCACCCTGAAACATAGAGGAGAGGTTCAGTGATGATGAAGATGATGAAGAAGATGGTGACGATGGTCATGAAGAAGACTCACGTCAGGGTCTTGTACTTGGTGCAGACGTTGAGGCGGATCGGTCTCCCTTTGATGGTGAGCGGGTTCACGCTGTAATACTTCACCAACATCTCAGCGTCCTCAGGCGAACCCAGCTGGACAAATGCCTGGAGGATCAATAGACCAATAGATGAGATGGATCAATAGACCAATAGATGA